ATTTGCAATATTTTCTCCTTGACCTGGGAACTCTGGAATTTGGCTACAATAGTCCTAGGAGTTTTCCTTTGGGGATGTCTTTCAGGAGGTGATCAGTGGATTCTTTCAATTTCTATTTTACCCTCTGGTTCTAGAATATCAGGGCAGTTTTCCTTGATAATTTCTTGAAAGATGATGTCTAGGCTCTTTTTTCGATCATGGTTTTCAGATAGTCCAATAATTTAAAAGTCATCTCTCCTGAATCTATTTTCCAGGTCAGTTGTTTTTCTAATGAGATATTTCACATTGTCTTCCATTTTTCCATCCTTTTGGTTTTGTTTTACAATGTCTTGATTTCTCATAAAGTCACTAGCTTCCAATTGCTCCATTCTAATTTTTAAGGAAGTATTTTCTTCAGTGAGCTTTTGGACTTCCTTTTCCATTTGGCCAGTTCTGCTTTTTAATGAGTCCTTCTCTTCAGTATTTTTTGTGTCTCCTTTACCAAGCTGTTGATTCTTTTTTTCATGGTTTTCTTGTACCACTCTCATTTCTTTTCCCAATTTTTTCCTCTACCTCTCTTATTTGATTTCTAAAAGCCTTTTTGAGCTTTTCCAGAATTCTTTTTGGGCCCAAGACCAATTCACATTTTTCTTTGAGACTTTGGAATATAGCATTTTTGACTTTTTATTTCCAAGTTTGTGTTTTCATCTTCCTTGTCACCACAGTAACTTTAGGTTCCTTTTTGTTGTGATTTGCTCATTTTTCCAGCTTATTTCTTAATTTTTAAATTTATGTTAAAGTTCAGTTCTGCCCCTGGGGTTAGGGGAGAGGGAACTTTCCCAAGCTTCAGGGTTTTCATGCTGCTTTTTTCAGAGTTAGTCCTGGGGATCTGTAAGTTTTTGGTTCTTCTAAGGTGATATAATCTAAGGAGAGGTGTAGTCACTGCTCTCCTGGCATGTGCATGACAACAAGCACTCTTCTCTGCCCTGTAACTGTGACCAGGGCCCCTGTAGCTACATGCTCTCACGTGTTAGTGCCCCTTCTCTTCCTCACCCTGGGACTGTGACCCAGAACTATGTATGGGCAATGCAACAGAGTTCTATACCTAGTACCAGCAAAGGGTCCCTTGTCATCTCCTTCTGACCAGATGTCTGACCCCCTTACCCTCTGTGGGCTGAGAGCTCCAGAAGCCACTGCTTTTGATTCATTTGCTCCTGCCAGAATCAGTTGCCGCCAAGGTCTGCTGCTGGTTTGCTGTGGTGTGGCCTGCACTGGCCAGGCCTATAAGGACTGCACTCCACTCTCACCCCAGTGAGACTGATCTTTCCTGCTAACCTTCTAAGTTGTCTTGGGCTGGAAAATTGTTTCGCTCTGTCTTTTTGTTGGTTCTCCTTGGTTCCAGAACCAAGTTTGTTCGAGAATTCATTTTGAGGCATTATTTTAAAGTTGTTTAGAGGGGAATTTGGGAAAGGTAGGTGAGTCCCTGCCTTTATACTACCTACCATATGGTTCCCAATCCTTTGGCTTTTAAGCCCATTCCTACTTTTCTAGTTTTCTTTGACCTTCCTCCTGTGACATATACTCTTTAATCCAATGATACGGTGGAATCCTTGCTGTTCTTCACACAAGACATTCCATATCTCTTGATTCCATTGCCTTTCCACTGGCTGTCCCCCATATCTTGAATGTACTCCTCATCTTTACTCCCTGGTTTTCTTAAAGACTTAATTGAAATCTTTTGCAAAAGGCTTTTACCAGTTTCTACCTCACCATTAGTGCCATCCCTCTGAGATTACCTCCCAGTTACCCTGGAAACATCTTGTGTGTATATATACATACACATTGGAATATGAAGCAGTTGAAGGCAGAGACTGTTTCTGTCTTTCTTTGTATCCTCAGCACTTAGGACAATGCCCGGGACATAGTGTGAAAAAGAGTTTGCTTTTTGACTTGACCAAAAAAAAAAACACTTCACTCATGTCATGTCATAAGGCATGAGTGGTCTGACACTACCTGCTAAGAAAGGGGTAATGGGTATACAGATGCAAGGCCCTTTTAGAAAACAGGTCCACGATTTCTGGAAGAAGGGAAACCCAAGGCCTGAAACAGAAGATTCAGCCTCCTGCTGGAAGGCAAGTTTAGTTCCCGCAATATCAGAGGGCTCACAGATGGGACAAGGGACAGAGCTGAAGAAAACCAGAATGATTGTGACAAAAACAAGAATCTCAGAGTTGGAAGAGACCAGTAGCCTTGATGGGGATGGGATCTGAACCCCTAAAAGGAAAAGACCATGTCTTTGGGATCTGGACCCCAAAAAGGAAAATCCCTCTGGACTTTCCCAAATCCCTGACATTTGCCTGAGGCTATAATACACTTAACTGGTCTTTCATTGTTGGCTAAACCTAATCTCCCAATTCTGTTTTGTTACCTCCTGATTGCCCCTGGCCACTTCCCACACTCCATTCTCCTTTGGACACATGATCCAGGTCCCTGGCTTCCTGTTCACCCCTGCTTACTGGCCACTCCCATCTTGATCCTCCTTAGACTCTTCCTCCATTCACTCCAAACTACTTGACCACTCCTGGATCCCTCCCCCAGTCTTTCTGTATATAAGGTCCATCTTGTCTCCATTAAGGGGCTCAGATTCTTAAAATCTGGCCCACTTGCATTAGTGATACAAAGGCTCAGATTCTTTAAGAGTCTAGCCAAGGGCTCAAATTCTTATAATCTAGCCAATAGCTAAGAAATGTTCACATTCCTTAAGAGTCTGGCCAATATGGCGAATTCTTTAATAAATCTTGTCTTTGTCTGAAAGAAGGCTTGGGTCAAATTCATTTGGGAAGACCCACATGTTGTGATTTTGGGGTCCCATCACCCCTAAACCTCTAAACCTCAACAGTCTCACTCCTATCTATCCTATGAAGCAGCTGAGTGGTGAGGTGGAGAAAGCGCTAGTCCTGGAGTCAGAAAGACCTGAGTTCAAATCTGACCTTAGACACTTAGTAATTGTGAGAACTTGGGCAAGTCATTTAACCTCTGTCTGACTCTGTTTTCTCATCTGTAAAATGGGGGTATAATAATAACACCTACCTCGCAGGGTTGTTGTGAGGATCAAATGAGATAATACGAGTAAAGCATATAAGAAGCACAATATCTGGCACATAGTAGGTACTCCATAAAAGCTTATTCCTTTTCCTCTTCTCTGACCAGGCATCCTGCCTGTAGTATCCTCAGTAAATGATCCTTTATCCTCTCCTTGAAGATCTCCGGTGAGAGGGCATTAATTCACTACCTTCTGAGACGGACAGCTCTAATTGTTAGGAAGGGCAGCTAGGTAGCACAGTGAATGGTGTACCATACCAGGAGTCGGGAAGACTTATTTTTCTGAGTTCAAATCCAAGCTCAAACATTTACTAGCTGTGTGACCCTGGGCAAGTCACTTAAGCCTGTTTGTCTCAATTTCCTCATCTGTAGAATGAGCTGGAGAAGGAAATGGTAAACCACTCCAATATCTTTGCCAAGAAAACCCAAAATGGGGTCATGAAGAGTCAAACACGAATGAAATGATTGAATGACAACAAAGTGTTGGGAAGTCTTTCCTTCTCCCTAGATGAAATATGTCCTAGTTCTAGACAAAACAGAATGATATATTTTCAATCAAATATTCTTTGAAGTGAAAGGAAAACAGGGGGTGCTAGGACCATGGGAAATTATTGTTATTTAATTTTACGGTTATTGTTGATATGTTGCTGTCTTTTAGCACAAGAACCCCTGAGTGACTCTTACTATGTGGATGGAAGGGTCAAGGAAAACTAGTAGACCCAGAGGAAAGTGCTGCCCATTAGGTCAGAAGGTAAGTTTAATAGCCAGAGCAAAAGTAGAGCAAGGGTTGGGAGGAGGAGGGAGGAAACAGTGTCCTGGGCAAAAAGGAATGTGAGAACTCCAAGGCAAATTTCAGTCTGGGAGGAAAGCTATTTCCTCATATCAGAGCTATGGAAGCAAAGATTGTACAACTTTTGTCTATTCAGGCTCTTTCGTGGTAACATACAGATATCATTTCCCTCTCTCTCAAACTGCCTCAGAGGTTTCTAGATATTTTTTTTTTCATTGTCCTACTCCCCTCCATCTCACCCCCCCCCAGGTATTGGTGAAAAAAGACTAGATTTAGGATGAGAAAACCTGGGTTTCAATCCTAACTCTCACTACCTGGGTTCCAATCCTAACTCTCATTACCCAGGTAAGTCATGTCACTCCTTTAGACATCAATTTCCTCATCTGTAAAATGAAGAAGCTGAATTATATAATCTTTCAGGTACCTTCCAGCTCTGAATTCTATGCTAACTCATCCTAAAGCTCTGAGAACCTGAGACCTAGAGCTTCTTTCAGATACCATCTGAGGCAGTTTCATACCGAAAAAAGAGAACTCCCCATAGAGATGATTTTTTTTTCCTCTCTCCCTCAAAATAACAATACATCACTGACAACAATCTATTGGAGAAGCAGTAAGCAGGAAAAACCTAGGACTTAAAGTCATAAGGCCTGGGTTCAAATCCCAAATCAGCCACTTATTAAGCTGTGTTGACCTTGGGAAAAATCATTTCAGGCATCTGAGCCACAGTTTCACCATTCGTAAAATGGAGATTACGGTACTTACTCTACCTGTCTCACAGGTTTTTGTGAGAAAAGCACTTTGTAAAGGGCCATGAAAATACAAGCTAGCATTATTTGTCTACTAAGCCTGAGAGCTCCATTCCCTGAGGGGAGAAAAATTCATTTGAATAAGAGAGTTTTGTAGACATCAAAATCTGACTGTGTCATTTCTTCTATGAAAAGAAACTTCTACTTTTCAACTGATTCAGCAAAATATGCACATACATATATCTATTCATCTGTGTCTATACATGTATATATATGAACTTAACTTTCTCAGCAGCAGTTTCAAGAAACTTATTCCTCTTCTTGCCCCAAAGCTTTGTAACTCCCCACCCTCCCCCATTCAGGACAGGTGAGATCACCCTTACCTTCCCTGAGGAGGAAACCAAACCAGAGTACCATGAACAACAGCAGCAGACCAAACGGCAGGCACAGCCAAAAAAAGAGGAAGGAAAACGTGAGATCATTCACCAGCGGCACCAGGGGGTACTTCATTTCTTGTTTCCAGCCGGGGATGGTCCTGGCTAGGCCAGTGAAACTGAAGCTGGCTTTTCTCTCTAGCTGGCTCTTGTGATTTAAGTGATGATGTAACAAAGGGTCATAGAGACCTTGGGCTGCCAGGGATTACAGACCAGGGAGCAATTTAAGAGATAGGGAATCTCAAGGAAAACGGATCAGAGAAAGAAATTTGAGACTCTGAGGACTGATTCTCCTTGTTCCTATGTTGATCACCCACATACACAGTCATTAATAATCGGCTTTGAAGGAGACAACCTGAAGGATCAATTCCTTATTGGGGGCTTTAACTTCATTTTACTCCTTCTTAGGGTACAAATCAATACCAAATGCTCTATTGGTGCTTCTTAATTTTCCTCTTTTTCTTAGGTCTTCATGAATTCTCTACCCAGGGGGTAAGAGCAAGACTAACCTTAGAGAATAAGCTCAGAAGTTAGCTCAGAAGCCTATATGCCCAACAATCTTCTCTCTCTAAATTCATGGGTCCAGTCATCATCTTTCATAGGTTCCCAAAGTGGATAATATCACCCTTTGGGGGGCACTGGAATGATCCAGGGTGGGTAGTAGTAGCCTTGGGTGCAATTGGGTGGGGCATTGAAAAACCATTCATACGTGTTTCATCTGTTGTGTAACAGAGTTAAACTCACAGTGATTATACTGTTTTCCAAATAAACACACAAAATGCAACTGATCAGCAGTCAAGTCTGCTGACAGGTCTTAACAAGCAAGTGTTGGCAGGTGAGCATGTTGTGCATTGTTGGGAAGTCCAGTATACATCAGCAGGAATATGTGCCTGTAATGACTTGTTTACAATACAATATTATATGGTTACATGACACAATATTGTATCATCAAAATTTCAATGCTGGAAAAAACCCACAATTTATAACAAATTATTAAATTTAAGATGTGTCATTCAAAAAAGGATATGCTTTTTAAAAAATGCAAATAAAAAAAAACCCAAACCATCAAACGGTTAAAGAAATTAGTTTTCCAGGGGATTGCTGAGTAATTTTTTTAAAAAAGGGACAGTAGGCCAAATAAGTTTGGGAACCTCTGAAAGATGGAGATGATGCCCAATCTATATAGTCAGCTATTTTCTGAACTCTAGTCCTATATTGCCAACTGCCTGTTGGACAAGTCTACCTTGAGGTCTCATTAGTATCTTGGACTCAAAACGTCCAAAACAGAAACAACTATAGATCTAGACGTGGATAGAATGACAGAAAGCATCTAGTACAACCTCTTTTATTTTACAAGTGAAGAAATTGAAACCGAGGTTAAATAACTTGCCTTAGGTAGCATGTATGAAGGTTTAAACTCAGATCCCTTTACTCTAGGGCCAATGCTCTTTCCATTGTACTACATGTTAGCTTCCTCCAAACTTCCTTATTTCTGTTCAGGATACCACTATCACTCCTGGTGGGGATGGGGAGTCACCCAGATATATAACCTCAAGATTATCTTTCATTCTTCCCTCTCTGTCATCTCTCATATACAATCAATGCTCAAATCCTATCAATTCTACCTCTACAAAATATTTTACCTGTGGCTCTTTCCTCCTTCATTTGCATGGCCACCATGAGGTCCTCATGACTACTTACCTTCTTACCTCCCATAGTTGACAAGGTACATACATTTTCTAAAGTATGTACATGTCTGTCTGATCATGTCACTCCCTTCCCCAAAAACCCTTCAGTGGCTCCCTGGCTGCTTCTAGGATAAAATATACTCTCCTTAGCTCTCCACAAGCAGCATCCTATCTTATCTTTCCAAACTTACATTATTCCCTTTAAGTACTGTGGGTTCCAACCAAACTTGACCATGAGCTATTCCTCTTAAACTTAACATCCCCACTCTGCATTCACACAAGCCATACCCCAAGCCCTACAGTACTCCGTCTAGTTTTTGCCTTTCAGAATCCTCACCTTCCTACAAGGTTCAACTCAGTTCTTATCTCCCTGAGAATCACTTTTACTAGTGTTTCTTTCTTTTTTAAATCACACTGCATTTGCTTATCTACATACATGTTATATCCTCCAAATGGAATATAAGGGAAAGGAAGGGGAAAATACATTTATTAAGCACCTACTATCTGCTAGGCCCTTTTCTAAAAGCTTTCACAAATGTTATCTCATTTGATCCTCACAACAGCCTTGGAAGGTTGGTACCATTATTATCACCATTTTACAGTTGAGGAAACTGAGGCAAACAGAGGTTAAATGACTTGCCCAGGGTCACACAGCTAGTAAATTTGAGGTCAATTTTGAATTCAGGTCTTCCTGACACGAGGCACTGTTCTCCTAGCCACCTCAAGCTCCTTAAAGGCACAAACTAGATCATTTTCTGTCTTTATATACCCAGAGTTAGCACAGTGTCTTGTACATTGTAGTGGCTTAATAAATGTTTGTTGAATTGAATATGTAAATATAACTGAGGAATGAATGTAATCCTATTTTAGTCCAGGCAAATTGCCTTTAAGTGAATTGAACTGACTTATTAGAACCTGAGCTCTCTGAGGAAAGGGATTATTTTTGCCTTTCTTTGTTTCCCTAGAACTTAACACATAGTAAGTATTTAATAAATGCATGTTGACTTGACTTAAGAGAATTAGCCTAGGTGAATTAGTTTTAAGAAGTTGGACTACTCTTCAGCTCTGTAGAGTAGCAGTAGAATTTGTTACTAAATGTTCAGGGAGGACTAGCATCTCTGATTTGAGGATTGCCAAGCCCTTTCCAGGGCTGCTCATTCAATGTTTATGTTCCCACGATACTCAGCTGTCAGCTGTGGCTCTGGTAGCATGCACAGCAGCCATACCTTCATAAAACCATCTTGGCAGATGGGCTAAACCAGGTTGAGGGTAATTGACAGGCCTTAAACCTATCAGTGAATTAGGAAGATGTTTATCCCAAACATATGAAGAACGGGCAGATGAGAACAATTTTTTCCAACAGCCATTAAGATGGCTGAAGGTGTGGAAGGCTTAGAGCTTGGTCAAACATTAAACACGCTAAGATCATCCACTATATATCTCGGCTATTGGCAGTCATCTTGACAATTTGTTTTGCCACTGGATTTTCGTGACTCTGCAAGAGTAAGGCTGACAACTTTGTGCAATTCTGCCTTACTTAAATCTAATTCATACTCTAATTAAGACATCACTGTGTGATGTCATCAGTCTGCTTCGAAACTGAAGGACAAACAACAAACTATATATCATGCTTATTTTTAGCCCTTTCCTTTTCTATGAATGAAATGATCTTCCTACTCCCAAGGTTAACTTAACTTGTTTGATTAATTAATATCCTTCTTGACCTTTCTGCAGCTTTTCACACTGCTGATCACCCTGTTCTCCTTCATGTTCTCTTCATTCTAGATTTTCATGACACTATCTTCCCCTACTTCTCCTGCCTATTTGACCATTCCTCAATCTCCTTTGCTGGATCTTTTCCCAGGTCATGCCCATTAAGTGTGGGTATCCTCCATACTTAAGGCTCTCTTTATATTCTCTCCATCCTTTTTCACTTGGTCATCTCATCAGTTCCCATAAATTCAATTATTATCTCAATGCTGATGATTCTCAGATCTACTTATCCAGCCCTAATCTCTCTCTTAATCTCCAGACTCAAATCTTCAACTGCCATTAGATATCTCCAACTGTATGTCCCATAGACATCTTAAACTCAACATGTCCAAAACTGAACCCATCATCTTTTCCCCAAGCCTTTCCCTCTTCCTAACTTTCCCACTATTGTAAGGGACATCACTATCCTTCCAGTCACCCGGACTTATATCCTCACCTTCTCACTTATTTTTTTTCATCCTCCCAAATCCAATCTGTTGCCAAGTCCTCTCAATTCTATCTTCAAGCAACAGTACTCCCCTTTTCTTCTCTGACACTGCCATGAAGGTCCTCATCATCTCACATCTGGACTACTGCAATAGTCTGCTGAGTTGTTCTGCCTGCCACGAGTCTTTCCCCACTCCAATCTCTTCTCCATTCAACTAAAAGAGTGTCTTTCTAAAGCTCAGGTCTGACCATGTCACTCCCTGCTTAATTCTTATGGCTCCTTATCACCTATAGGAACAAATGTAAAATCCTTTCTTTGGCATTCAGTGACCTTCATAAGCTGGCTGCTTCCTCCCTTTCTAGTCTTCTTATACTTTACTCCCACAGAAATACTTACCTATTCAGTGAAACTGTCCTTCCTGCTGTATCTCTAGTCATTCTATCTCAAACTCTACATTCATTTTCACTAGCTGTCTCCCTATACCTATAATTCTATCTCTCCTCATCTTCATCTCCTAGCTTTGCTGGAGGTTCCTACAAGTCCTGCTAAAATCCCACCTTCTACAAGAATAACCTTCAAGGTTAGTGCCTTACTTCTATTGGTTATCTCCAATTTACTGTGTATAAATCTTGTTTTATATAATTGTTTACATATTGTCTCCCCCATATGGCTATGAGCTCCTTGAGAATAGGACTGTTGGGTTGGGGGTTTTTTGGCCTTTCTTTATATCTTCCTATAAAGCACTTGAAAAATCAACTTGCTGTTATTTGTGCTAATTAGTGTGAAACACTAATTAGACTTACATTTCTCTATTCTAGCATTCAAACTGTATTAATCAAATGCATGCAAACTTTAGACAATACAAAAATTAACCCCACTAGGAACAAACCATCAACCTGACTTCCCAGGGCTTCCCAGTAAGCCTGTCTTACTGTCAGTGACAAGGATCCCTCTCTTCCAAGCAAGAGGCCATGTTGTATCTCCATTTAAGGACATCACCTGACAAGTCAGTCGGTTAGCCTTGCCCTCAAGTGAACATGGAGATGCTTGAATCTCAATTTTGGGGAATTTGAGTTTGAAGCGTGGGGGAGGGGACACACAGACATCACCCTCAGTTGAGACCTAAGATCACACTGGAGCCTGAGATGGAGGGTTTGGAGGTGGAAGGAGTTGGTCTCCAGACGGGTTTCTTATAGTTTTAGCTATAGGCCTTAGCTGGTTATACCCAAGCTCTGATTAGTGATTGATTACCTAAGCTTATGATGAAAGGAAACTATCAATAAAAACAAATGTCATTAGCAAGTGTTTATTAGTTGTTTGCTAGATTTGGAAGATACTTGTCATTAGCAGTTGTTTACCAAATCTGGGGAACACACTCCATTAGCAGTTGTTTACTGAACATACCATTTCCAAACTATACCACTCAAATCATTATCACAGGAAAACAACTTATATAACAACTTTGCTGTTTAGTCATGTCCCACTCTTTGTGACCCTGTGGACTATACTGTCTGTGAGCTCTTCTTGGCAAAGGTACTGGAATGGTTTGCCATTTCCTTCTCCAGTAGATTAAGGCAAACAGAGGTTAAATAACTTGCCCAGGATCACACAGCTAATAAGTGTCTGAGGCCAGATTTGAACTCAAATCTTTCCAAGCCCAGCCAGAGCCAAGCTTCAGGTTCTATCTATTGAGCCACTTAGCTGCCTCCCATATATCAACTACTCAGTCATAAAATGGTGGCTTCAAAAACATGGAGTCACGTCAAAGCAACAAACTTATTGTCACTCTACCCCAAGACTTAGCACAACATCTGGCACAGAGTGGGAACTTCATTTATTATTATTTTTTTAAGAACAGGAACTTAATTAAAGTTTTTTGATTGACTGCATTAACACAATGGAGCTTAACTAGTCCTTACCACTGGAACTATGGCTCTGTTCTTTCCCCCACTAAGTGGAAATTGGTTGCAGAGGGCAGCTAGTGACTGTGGAATTAGAGTTATACCATTCTGCAGTAGCAGAACATGGTGGGTCCAAGTAAACTGAGACAAAAAACCAGCAGAATTCTACCCTTTTGTCTTTGCATCCCCAGTTCCTAGCACAGAGCCTGGAATTGTTTGTTCATTGGTTGATTAATATACTCAAAACTATTAAAGAAAGAGAAAGGTTAAGAGGGCTAAGTTGGCCTTAGGACAGGGGTTCTTATCATGACCCCCTTCTCAAATAATGTTCTTAAATATATAGAATTACAAAGGAAATTAATTATGTTAAAATATAATTATTAAACTAAAAACCCAGGATTAATAATCCCTGGCTGAGGCAAAACCAAAAGTAAGCAAAGTGTATCTCCAATACCAATACCTTCTCTAGATTTAGCTCAGTTATTCTTTGGCCTGAAATGAGCCTACTGAAGAAGCTGTCACATCAAAGGCAAATATGAGATAAAACAAGAAATGCCTTTCAGTACTTTTTGTGGTAGTATAGAACAGGAAATGAAGGGTGTGTTCACTGATGGGGCGGGGGGATGACTAAACACATTGTAATGTATTATTATAATGGAATATTATTGTGCCCTCCAAAACAACAAATATGAATACGTAGCTGTTTGCATTAGACTGCGAGCTCCTGGAGAACAGGGGCTGTCTTTTGGCTTTCTTTGTATCCCCAATGGTTTAGCAGAAAGACTGGAACACTGTAGGCACTTAATAAATGTTTATTGGCTGATTGAGGGAAACATGAGAAGATTTAAATTGACTGATGCAAAGTAAAGCCAACAAAACTAAGGAAAACAACACAATTAAAACATGAATGTATACAGACACAAAGAACATTAAAACAATTATAATGGCTAAAAGAGGAGATGAAAATTGCACCTCTCTTTTCCCTAGAGGGACAATTGGTATGGAATGTTGCTGTGGATGCTGTTGGTTTTGCAGAATTTTTTTTTTTAAAGAATATCACAAGAGAGCTCACTTGGTAGGAAATGGGATATATTGAGAAACAAATATGTTGTAAAGACAAAAGTTATCAGTAAAACATGATCAAGGGGCAGCTAGGTGGTGCAGTGGATAGAGCAACCCGCCCTGAAATCAGGGAGGACCTGAGTTCAAATCCGGCCTCAGATCAAACACTTGACACTTACTAGCTGTGTGACCCTGGGCAAGTCACTTAACCCCAATTGCCTAAAAAAACCAAACCAAAACAAAACCACCAGATGATCAAGTCACTCCATCTCCAACTCTACAATGCATTTTCACTGGTTGTCTCCCTAAGCCTGGAATTCTCTTTAGAGGCATTCTTATTTCTCAAAATTGCTAGTGCTGGGTGCCTCATGGGCATTTTTCTTTACTGGACTCCTTCTGTCCATAACATGCTTTCCCAAGACCTTATAAACTCTTTCCCTTTGGGTGACCTTATTTTGTTTCTTCCTGGGGTATCTACGTTTCAAAGGAAGGACCACTAGATTGAATATTATGGCACTTTGAGCATCTGGACAGGGAAACATTTTTTGGCTGGGGGGCCCATGCTCAAATATCATATTCATAGGTAAAATCATCCTCATTCAACTGTGGCCCTGAAATTGCTCTTTTTAAATTATTACTTATGTATTATTGTTGTTTGTCCTTCATTTTCTAAGAGGACCAATGACATCACGGGGTAATGTCTTGGCATCAGTGTGAATTGGATTTAAGTGAGGCAGAGGAGCAAAAAGTTGTCAGCCTCACTCTCTTGTCCAGAGTCATCAAAGTCCAGTGACAAGACAAAAGTCAAGATGCCTATGGAGTTCCCAGGATACAGTAGATGACCTTGGCATTTTTGATGTCTGACCAAGCTCTATTCCCTCCACACTGCCTGTTTAAGCTGTCTCCGTGGCCATTGGAACAAATTGTTCTCATCCACCTTTTCTACCAGGGGAAGCCTTCAAATGCTTGGGAAATACTATATGCAAATAATGGAAATATTCTTGTTCAGTCATTTCAATTGTTGTTGGACTCTTCATGACCCCTTTTGGGGTTTTCTTAGATACTGGAGTGGTTCGCCATTTCCTTCTCCAGCTCATTTTACAAATGAGGAAATTGAGGCAAACAGGGTTACGTGACTTGCCCAGGGTGACACTAGCGGTAAGTGTCTGAGGGCAAATTTGAATTCAGGTCTTCCTGATTTCAGGCCAAGTTCTATACACCTAGTTTCAAATATAATATATGCTTATTAATAATCTAAATCTATTTCTATTATGTTCATATGTATAAAATTAATATAATACAAATTATAAAAATAATCTATTACTGCTATTTTAAAATTTATGCTGGTTCTACCTTCCTCTCAGCCTACAATTGTGGGGTCTTGTCAGGAGACCCACCCCCTTTCTCCAGTCCTTTCCCGCCTCCCTCTCTTCCTGCCCCCGCCTTCCCAAGTCATTCCCTTCTCCACCTTCCTCCCCTTCTCTTCCTCCTTCTCCCTCCCCCTCCCCGCCCCGTTCCTGTAACTCGGCCCTATCCCCAGGAAGGGGCGGAGGGGAGACTTTTTTCGCGGGGAGGTCTGGGATGCACAGCACATGCGCAATGGCGAGGTTTCCTCGGTGAGCTATTTGACGCCGCCGCCCCCGGCAGTCGCAGTCGGAAGTTGCGGGAGCTAAAACCTGTCGCCCGCCAGCCGGCCGGCCCTCGGGACCGACCCTCCAGCCTTCTTCGCCCTTTCGGGCCGCTCCCTGCCCTCCTTCTCTCTCTCTCTGCAGCGGCCTGACGGACAGAGGCCCTGGGCCGCCACGGCCCCCATGGAGCCGGCCCCCTGAGGCGGAAGGCTGATCGGCGGCGGTGGCCCTCCCCTCCCCGCCCCAGCCCAGCGATGCGGGCCTGGCCCCTCGGCGCAGGTAACCCCGAGGGCGGCGCCTCGCCGGGCCGGGCCGGGTCTAGCCCGCAGGACCCGCCCGGGGACGGGCAGCTGCCCGCCGCCCCTGGACTGACGGACTGGCCTGCCCCCGGCCGCGTCCGGAGCGGGGCTCCGGGCCGGGAAGCGCGGCCTGCCCGCGGTCGGCGTCGGGGCTGGGCGGCGGGAGGATCCCGGCCCTGGGTGCAGGGCCGGGCGAGGAGGAGGGGGGCGGGGACAGTGGGTGCCCAGAGGTGGGCGCGGGGCTTCTCGGACGAGACTCTCCTTCCTGCTCCCTCCCCAGGGATCGCGAGGGCAGGAGGGCCCGGGGCCAGGTGGGGTCTGGCTGGAAGTCACCTTTTGGAGCGCGGCGTGCGAAGCCCTGCCCGCCGAGACCTGGTTCTGTGGGTCTCGACTCTGGTGCTTGTGCAGGGCCATGCCGGGCAGTGGGTCAGCGAGGCGGCTCGAGGGCGAGTTAGCCTCAAAGAAAGTTGGGAGAATCGAGGCACGAGATACTGTGCTCAGCCTTAGGGCCAAGACGGCTAAGTCAGGTCACCAGCGAGCTGTGTCCCAGGGCCAGGCCGAGTGCTAAGCACCGGGGATGCCGAGAAAGGGAAAAGCAGCCCCGGCTCTCCAGGAGAGCAGGCTAGGTAAAAGTGAACTTGGTTTGGTATCTCACTCTTGATTGTGAGCTGGGTTTATGCGGCTTCACTTTCACCGTGCCTAACACTGTCCTTTAGTAACTTTCCGATTTAGGTAATCTGAGGAAGGGCGAACGTCTCAGGACGCTTTTAAAAATAGATTTTATTGATGCCTTTTGTCTTTGCAGCAATCATTTCCTACAACCCTCACACACACCCACACACCATCATCCCTTCAGATAAAGAAAAACAAGCAAAAAGTTTAAGCAAAAACAATAGATACAGAGACTCGAGACCACTTCTGACTACACAGACATCATTCTGTTTTAGTAGTCCCCAACCTGCACCTAATTTCTACTTTTGCCTTTGTACTTTAAAAGAAATTCTCACTTTAGGGTATATTTTGCTTCCTACTGGGTCTTGTCCGGTTTCTGATAGATATTGCCTGGCAGTTCTTGTACTATAGATAGTTTTCCTTCCTTTTTTGTTTAGAAGTACTTAAGGATGTGTTTATCAACTTCATAGTATTATGAAACAATGAGTGGTGTAATAGAGCACTGAATTTGGATGAGAAGACCTGAGTTCCAGTTCTTTCTTCCACTCATGCAAGTTCTGTGAGCAAGTTCTCCAACTCATACTTGTTCTGTAGCTAGGAAGCAAGTTATTTGACCTCAATAAGTCTCAGTTTCCCCTTCTGCAAAATGGAGATAATTACCTATACCACACAGTTATTGTGAGGAAAGTACTTTGTAAGCTGTACACAACTATATAAATGTGAGAGGCTGTAATGTTTTATAACATCACAGTGTGCGTTCCTTAACTTCTTGTGAAGAGCTTTGAAGTTAACAGATTTCGTGGTGATTCTGAGTTTACCAATATTTCTATGTTTGTTTTTGGCTTAACACAGAGACACCCTCCTATACTCCCCACCCTCTTTTCTCATACCTTTGTGGGATCCTTTTAGGTGTGAATCACTGATATGCTATTACTGTTCCTTAGTTTGCTCTGTGAGGATCTTATAGTTAATATGAAGTCTGAATGCTTCTTAATTCTCATGCTTCCACAGCCTCTCTTTACTCATTCTGCAACTCAGTGTTGTTCAAAGAAAGTTTGAGAATCATGTAATGTTACCTTCTTGTGAGCACCTGATAAATGTTAACATGTAATGTATTCATTGGTTGACTGCTGATAGTTGTCACCAAGAGAGATAATATTACAAATGTCAGAAAGATTATTTCCTTAGTGTAAAATTGAAAGTAGTTAATAATTTACTGTGTCCCCTATTTAGTACAGAATTGCTTGATTGCTACTACCTACATTTAAAAGATGAAAGACATGGGGATAATGATTTTGATAGTGGAATTAAGAACTGAAGTATACAAAATGGGGTTTACAAATGTCTGCTTTTTTAGATCATAGTGAAAAGATTTGGTGTGGCTTTTCCTGAGGAAAAAAATGTCTCTCTTGACTAGTCTTAAATGGTCTTCTGCAGTATACACATGTTGGTGTATATATAAACCAAATGCAAGGTTTAATGTTACATTTAACAGCGCAGTTTTACTGAGCTTTAGGATTGTTTGGACATGGTTGTCATGTTACACAATTAGTTTTTTGTAGACAGGCTAAGAGCTAGTAATATTGCTTATATTAAATCCGTATACTCATCAGAGTTGTCTCTTACCATCTAATTTAGACAATGTTATACTGAGTATCCTCTGCTGGCCTCTGTGTGTGGAAGAAACCCTATCCAAGTAAGCCTGATCAATTAGCAGTAAGTTGTCTATTCTGCTCCCCAAGAGAAGATGGAAAGTGTTGGGCAGTAATTAAGGGATGTTCTTTATGTCTATACCTCAGGTTAGACTGTTCCTAAGAATGTATTGTAATAGAGAAAGAACCCTTCCAAACAAGATACATGCATGTCACATGGAAGAGACTTTACATCTGCTCCAACTCCATGTTATATATGAGGACACTGATCAAGGTTACACAGCTAGCTAGTAACAGGATCAAGACTAGAACACAGGACTTCTGACTTAAGTCAGTATTCTTTCTCATTGTCACACTGCCTCTTGGTGGATTTTTTTAAGGTAGGAAACAAAATAAGTGGATGGGAGGCTTTGAATCATGTATTAGTAAGTTAAAACTGGAAAGAGTTGATCTTAGAATTTAGAACTGGAAGGGGCTTCAGCATTAATAATCTGACTCATTACCCTTAAATTACAAAAAGAAACTCAGGCTCAGAGAAGGGAAGTGCTTTGGCCGAAGTCACACATATAGTGAATAGCAGAACAGGTAGAGAATGCAGGTCCTTTGACTCTTAACCTAATGCTCTTTCCTTTGTGTAGGGGAGAGACATATAGAGGCTGTGTATGAAAAATGAATTGGTGGGACTTGAGCTGGACTGAGTTGGAATTTCCTGTGTTTTTTAAGAAAGAAAAGCAAAGGGGGCATCGAGGTGGTGCAGTGGAAAGAGCCCTGGCCCTGGATTCAGGAGGACCTGAGTTCAAATGTGGCCTCAGACACATCACACTTACTAGCTGTGTGACCTTGGGCAAGTCACTTAACCCCAGTGCCTAGGAAAGGAAAGAAAGAAAGAAAGAAAGAAAGAAAGAAAGAAAGAAAGAAAGAAAGAAAGAAAGAAAGAAAGAAAAACAAAAGGCCTTCATGTAAAGATAGGGGGGGATGGCAGTGGTAAGGGTTAAGGAGGATATGTGCCTTATGTTTTCTGTAATGTGAGAGTTTGATAAATAGAGGGACTTTGGACTATTATAAAGCCAGTGAATAAACTCATACACTAATTTGACTTGTCTGTTCTTCTGTAATGTGCCTGTTTCAAGAGGTAAAGGTCTGTAACTGAAAAAGTAATAACCTCTCCCTCTGGAAGATTTTTAACCTTGTGACAACAGTGCTTAGTGCTTTGGCACAGTACCTGGTACATAGTAGGAGTTTAATAATTGACTTGGGGGGAGAAGGACAAGTTGCTTTAGCTCTCCAAGCCTTAGTTTCCTCATATGTAAAATGGGCAGGTAGGTGGCATCATGCATAGAGTGCCGGGCCTGGAGTCAAGAAGACTCATCTTCCTGAGTTCAATCCAGCCTCAGACACTTACTAGTTGTGTGACCCTGGGTAAGTCAGTTAACCTTGTTTGCCTCAGTTCCTCGTTTGTAAAATAAGCTGGAGAAGGAAATGGCAAACCACTTTGGTATCTGTACCAAGATGACCCCATATGGGGTCATGAAGAGTCAGACATGACTGAAAAACAACTGAAAAAATGGGGATAATGATACCTGTGCTCCATACCTCGAACAGTTGTTTTGAGTCTGAAATATGGTATGTGGAAATCACATAAAACATTTATTAAGAGCTTACTATGTGTTAGACACTGTAACATTGTAAACATGTACCAGGCACATTGTTACCTTTAAAGTAATTATATAAATGCTAGTTTTCCCCCAAGTGCCTGAAGTCTAGAAATGTTTTTACTCAATCTTCTCTGTCCTACATTCAGCCGGTGTCTAACTTATTAATTCTATTTCCACACCATCTTTTAGACCTGTCTCCTCCCCCTCCAGACTTACTACTCTCACTTTAGTTTGAGCCTTTATTTCCTCTTCCCTTGACTATTAACAATAGCTGGCATGGTTAATTTTTCTAAGGTACATTCCCCTGCTCAAAACCCTTTGATTGTTTACCATTGCTTGCTGAAGTCCAGTTTCCTTAGCTTGTGTTAAGAGGTACAGGTGTTTACAAGTATTCAGGGTGAGGGATCCAAAATCTCACTTAAAACCTAAGTAGTGGGACAGTTAGGTGGTGAAGTGGATAGAGCACTGACGCTGAAGTCAGGAGGACCTGAGTTCAAATCCAGTCTCAGACCAAACACTTGACACTTACTAGCTCTGTGCCCCTGGGCAAGTCACTTAACCCCAATTGCCTAAAAAAGAAAAAAAAACCTAAGTGGCACAAGGAAAAGGGTATTAGATTTGGAGACAGGATACCAAGAAAATCTAGCTTGCTACTTACTACCTGTATGACCTTGGGCAAATCGCTTCATCTTTCTGGGCTTCATTTTCTTCAACTATAAAATCAGGGTGTTGATTTAATTGATCTCTTAGGCCCATTCCAGCTCTAAGTCTATGTTCCTATGAATGAGTCTATTTTTCCTGCCTTAAACTATTCCCCTTGATGTGTCTTACAACATGTGCCAGCCAAACCAGTCTGTTCACTAGTTCCTCATGCATGTCCTGTGAATTTGCTTAGCAAAGGTATAAGACTGAACTAACCCATGCCTGGAATATTTTTTCTGTCCTCTTCACTACTCTTCCACTCTTCTTTCTCCTTCCTCCTTCTCCATACCCTCCTCTTC